AATCAGATTTTGTTAATTCTCAATCCATTTGATCTCTCTGTTGTCATTTGTCATGGTGACTACTCATTTCTCCTTTAAATTCTCTCCTCCATGGCTTGCATACATCACCATCTCTCCTGGCTCTGCTAGGGCCTCTCTGAGTATACTAATAGTTAAGAGCATAAGCTCTGGAGTCAGAGCTGGGTTCAATTCCTGTCTTTCCCATTTGCTAGCTGTGTGGCCTTGAGCAAGTAAAGTCTTTGAGCCTTAATTTTCTCATCTATAAAACAGGGATAATAACAGAACCCCACAGAGTTGTAAAGAGCATTTAGTGAGATAATCTAAGTAAAGCACAGTAACTAGGACATAGTAAGTGTTTGATATGCCTAAACTATGGTAATTATTCCTTCCTAGTCTTATCCTGGAATCTCTTCCACTCCTTAATTACTGCAGTCCCTCAAGAGTCCATTCTTAACAGTCTCCAATCCCATCGGTTCTCATTGCCTTCCCTATATGCTGACCATTCCAAAGTTCTTATCTCCAGCCCAGACCTCTACTACAGCACCTGTAATGGTTTATGCAAGTAACCGTTTACATGTCTGTCTTCTGTTACTAGATTGTGAGCTCCTTGAGGGCAAGGGCTGTGATTTATTTGTCTTCCCTCAACCCCCACCCCCCAGCACCTGGAGTAGTGCTTGGTGCATGGTAGCAGGCCTTCAATAAATGTTTTCTAAATGAAGGAAATCTTTCTGGACAATGCCGCCTTAACCCCATGCCTCTCATCCTCTCTGCCATTCACATGCAGCAGTAAATGTGCTTAGCCATTCTGATTATGGATTCCCCTGACCCATTCAAATTCTCAAGCAAACAGTATTTTTTGCTGACTCCAAATATACCCACTGTGTCAGTCAGGGTCTTGGCAGAAATAGATGACGCACTCAGTCTGGGTATCTGGATGAGAGTTTAATAAAGGGCATATTTATAAAGATGAGGCAGGATTTAGGAAAACCATCAAGGAATAGTGCAGTAACCCGGGGCTAACAACAGCTGGGAGCCGGTACCCACCGCACCCCACCCTGGGCATCGAGGGGTAACGGGAGAGAGTAGTTATGAGACAGGGAGAGAGTAGCTACAGAGAGGGCCGCCTGACAGGAGCTGTGGCAGAGAGCTACAGCCAACCTGTGGGGATATGGCAGGGACGGAGCCAGGGGAACAAATAGCTCATGTCTGCCCTCCCCTTCCCCCAAACCTCACTCTCTGATCTCCTGATCTCCTCCATCTGCCCTTACAAAGTACTGCAAACCTGGTGGCTTAAACAACAGATGTTTATTATCTCTTAGTTCTGGAGGCTAGAAATTCAAGGTGTCAGCAGGGTTGGTTGCTCCTGAGAGCCGTGAGGAAGAATCTGTTCCATGCCTCTCCGCTAGCTTCTGGGGGTGTCCTGGCAATCTTCAGTGTTTGGATGGTAGAAGCATCACCTACACCTCTGCTTTCGTCTTCACATGGTACTCTCCCTGTGTGTGTCTGTGTCCAGACTCTTCCAGTTTACAAGGACGCCAGTCATACTGGATTAGGGCCCACCTAAATGACCTCAAGTCAACTAATTATACCTGGAGTGACCCTATTTCCAAGTAAGGTCACACTCTGAAGTACTGGGGCTTAAGTATGCAACGTATAAATTTTGGCGGGGAGAGACACAATTTAACCCATAACATCCTCCCGTTGGTGGAATACAAACAGACACCAGAGCCCAAGGGAGTCCATTGACGCAGGCCATGTGAGTCAGCCTCACAGGGCACAGGGCAGAGTAGAGGATGAAGAGTGGACCTGGATGGGACAAATGGATGACATCCGGTATACTCACTTTCCATAATTCCTTCCCCAAGCCACGTTCAAGGCTCCGACTCTACTCCTAGGGACTCAAAACTAGGATTGAGATCCAAACCACTGAACCTCCCACCTTTCCACCGACTCAGCCATCATGTCCTGACCCCTTATACTTCCTAAATCCGGCCTCCTCTTCTCCATCTCCACTGAGCTATCACTACAGCCTCTACCTAATATCTCTGCCTCCAGTCTCTCCCCCTAAGTCCAACCTGTATGTTGCCTCCAGATTGATCTTCCTGTTCATCTCACTCCTTGCTCACTCCTTACCTCTAAATCTTTAGCTTGACCCTTCAGAACTGATCTCGTTCTCTTCTACTATTTCCCCGTGTGAGGATTAACGGTGTTAACACAATGCCATGCATATAGTAAATAGTCAGTGTTTACAGGGTTATCTTTTTTTTTTTTTTTTTTTTTGCGGTTCGCAGGCCTCTCACTGTTGTGGCCTCTCCCGTCGCGGAGCACAGGCTCCGGACGCGCAGGCTCAGCGGCCATGGCTCACGGGCGCAGCCGCTCCTCGGCATGTGGGATCTTCCCGGACCGGCATGTGGGATCTTCCCGGACCGGGGCACAAACCCACGTCCCCTGCAGCGGCAGGCGGACTCTCAACCACTGCGCCACCAGGGAAGCCCAGGGTTATCTTTTTTTTTTAATTAATTTTTAAATTAATTTTTGGCTGCATTGGATCTTCGTTGCTGAGTGCGAGCTTTCTCTAGTTGTGGTGAGCGGGGGGCTACTCTTCGTTGCAGTGCGTGCGTGGGCTTCTTATTGCGGAGCACAGGCTCTAGGCGTGTGGGCTTCAGTAGATGTGGCACGCGGGCTCAGTAGTTGTGGCTCACGCACTCTAGAGTGCAGGCTCAGTAGTTGTGACGCACGGGCTTTGTTGCTTTGCGGGCATGTGGGATCTTCCCGGACCAAGGATCAAACCCGTGTCCTCTGCATTGGCAGGCGGATTCTTAACCACTGAGCCACCAGGGGAGTCCCTACAGGGTTATCTTTATTTTTAACCCAACTGGTCTGTTCCACCCACTGAATATCACCTATATTTTATTCCCTCCATGTCCTCTGCTTCCCTACATTCAGGTCCTTCCGGTGGGAGTTCCCCAATCCAAGCAGCTCCTCAGCCTCTAATTATCTATCTCTAAAGCCTTGTTCTCCTTCCCTCCAGCCTAAGAGGAATTGATCTTTCTCCCCTAGACTGAAAAAGCTGCCTGTGTTTTCTATCCCCTTTCTTCCTGGGCAAGGTGCTTGTTCTACCCTCTTCCATCTCCTCTGGCTCTTCACCTTCAAAGATGCATAGGCATCTTGATGCTGGCATTCCCTCCAGCTCCCATGCACTACCCTCTTTTTCACTCCCAAATTTCTTATACAAGTAGCCCATGCTTGCTGCCTCCACATTCTCCCCACCCTTCTTTCTGCAACCCCTTCCAAACAGAACCCAAGCACCGCCTCACCTGATCCCTTTCTCTCCAAGGTCACCGAAGATTTGTTTCCCAATAGCCAACTCTGACCTTTTCTGTCATCACTCTATTTGACCATTTTGTATCATATTAGAATCCCTCCAACTTCAAGGTCCATGTCAGTTATAATCTCCACTGGCTTCTTTCATTCCTTTATTTTTAAATGTTCAAATTCCCTGAAGTTGTACTCTCATTTACCCTGTTGTTCTTTTCCTCTACAGTGACCCTTACACCAGAAGCTGCAAATTGCTCGCTATGTTCTGCCCTCAGAAATGTTTTGTTTGGCCCTTACCTGCACAGAAACTCTCACTGACTCCACAATGCCTGGCAGATAAAGTCCAAATTCCTTAGCTTAACATTGAAGGCCCTGAGCAGCCTGACCTTTCTATGTCCTCTGGGGTTCAGGGACTCCCCATTTCCAACCCCAGGTTATCTAACTCCTTGTTTTCCAAAGTAATTGGAAAGAGACAGCATGAATGCTTCAAAATTAAAAATAATAACAATATCATTTGGGTTAAAGGCCCCCAAATTTTCTCTGTCATCATCAGAGTTGATCTTAGGCTAATGATTGAAAACGCGATTTTTTCTAGCCTCTCACTGGGGCAGTGTAGCATATGGTTAGATTGCTGAGATTCGTTAGATAGTTTGGCTCCACTAATTACTATGGCCTTTGGGCAAGTTTCAAACCTTTCCCTGACCAGGTTTCTTTTTTTGTAAAAAGGGAATAAAGCATCTGCTTTATGGGATTAAGGATTAAACGCAGTAATGTATGTAAACTGTTTAAATACCGCAGTTAGCAGATGGCCAGTAAATGGTACCCATGATTATTTTTATTATTGTTGCTTCACCTCTAAGCATATCATACAATTCACTGAAGTCATTATTAGAGCACGGATTGAATGGGAGTCAGGCCTGGACTCCTAACAACATGGGACCTCGGGCAAATCCTTTCTTGGGCCGCGGTTTCTTCACCTGTAAAATATGGGTATGTTGCTGGGATGCGGAGGGTGCACCATGTGCAGATTAGACTAGCGGATCTCTAAAATTCCTGACATCTCTAAAGCCCCATGGGGGTGAGCCCCTGTTTCCCTCGCAGGGCAATCCAATCTTATCTCCCAGATAGGCAGATCTGAATCCTGAATCCTGATCTTTTTTCTTGACCATAAGGAATTCACCCCTCTTTCAGCCTCATTTTCCTTGTTTGTAAAACAACAACAAACAAAACAGTTTTTAAAAACAAACAAATGAGCACCTTCTTTCCTATCAGTGTTTCCGCAGGCACTAAGCTAACAGTGGACGCTCCCGCCTTCTTTCTGCTTCTAAGCTGCTCAATCAACTCCTGCCCCCGCCTCCCTGCCCGCGGGCCGGCTGGCCGGCCAGCCACTGCATGTAACCTCCTCTAAAAAGGCTCAAGTGCTTTAGGTCATTACGCCGAGTCCTGCACTTTGTATCATAAACACGATCCACAAGCAGAGTTAAGCGTGAAGGGCGGGTGCGAGGAGGCTGAGGAATGAATGGAAGCGACTGGGGAATGCACGCAGCTCAGGCCCCGCCCCCAGACGCGACGCGACGCGACGCGCCCCGCCCCGCCCCGCCCAGCCCAGCCCCGCTTTCCGACACCTGGTGGCGCAGGCCCTGCCTTTGCCTCTCTCCCAGCCTTCAAACCCCGCTCCACTGCTGGACTCCCGTGAGATCTGCGACTTGCCCCGGAAGACCCGCCCCCTGTGCCGTGGAGGCCAATGGGCAAGGGCGACAGTTGCGACGGTTGGGTTTTGAAGGAGCCAATGAGTGCTCGGAGCGGAGAGTTTAAGAAGCGTAAATCCGCACTGCTAAGGCCGGTCTGGAATCGGAGTCTGCTTTGAGCTGACGGTGAGAGGCGGCTGGGCCGAGCGAACCGGGGTGAGGCCGCGGCCGGGGGTGCCGGGCTGGGGGGGCTGCGGCCGGGGGTGGCCCTGTGTGGTCGGCTGTCCCAGAGCACGGTCGCCTTCCTTCCTCCGGGGCTCAGCGGGTAACCCTCCCCCTCCAGACACTCCCATGGCCCAGTTCGTGTTCGAGAGTGACCTGCACTCGCTGCTGCAGCTGGATACACCCATCCCCAATGCACCCCCTGCGCGCTGGCAGCGCAAGGCGAAGGAAGCCGCGGGGCCGGCCCCCTCGCCTATGCGGGCAGCCAACCGATCCCACAGTGCCGGCAGGACCCCGGGCCGAACTCCCGGTCAGTAGGGTGCGGCGGGACGCGGTCAGGAAGAGGGAAGGGCTGAGAACAGCCTTCACGACTGCTCCCATGGGAGCCTGTTGTGACAGTCTGCCTTCCCTCTCCCTGCCCCAGGCAAATCGAGCTCCAAGAATCAGACCACTCCCAGCAAACCTGGCGGTGACCGCTATATCCCCCATCGCAGTGCTTCCCAGATGGAGGTCGCTAGCTTCCTCCTGAGCAAGGAGAACCAGCCCGAAGACAGTCAGACGCCCACCAAGAAGGTATGTGTCCCAGGGGGACTTAAGGCAGGAAACCGATCTGTATAATCTGGATGATACCACCACCTCACCACCACGCTTACGTGCCAGGAACATCAGAAAGCATGGGCTTTGAACCTGAACGGTTTTGATGTGGAGGAAGCCAAGATCCTTCGGCTCAGTGGAAAACCACAAAATGCCCCAGAGGGTAAGACCTGAAGTTTTCAGCTCTTGGAGGGAGGTGTCATTCCATCCCCAGGGCTCGGGATAGATGAGATGGCTCTTCCCACCTAAGACTGAGGGGAGTGAAGGTGCTTCTCTGGCCTTCCTGGTTAGGGGCAGGGGGAGGTGTCAATTCTCCCAGTGTCTAGACCTACTGCGTTGCTACAGGTTACCAGAACAGACTGAAAGTACTCTATAGCCAGAAGGCCACGCCCAGCTCCAGCAGGAAGACCTGCCGTTACATTCCTTCCCTGCCAGACCGGATCCTGGACGCCCCTGAAATCCGGAATGACTACTGTAAGTGCAGCCTTCTCCCTGACCGGTGGATGGAGAAAAAGGGAGAGAGAGGGACTAGGCAAACTAGAAAGCTCATGCTCTTCCCTTCCCCCTCTGGCAGACCTGAACCTTGTGGATTGGAGCTCTGGGAATGTACTGGCTGTGGCTTTGGACAACAGTGTGTACTTGTGGAGTGCTAGCTCTGGTGACATCCTGCAGCTGCTCCAATTGGAGCAGCCTGGGGACTATATATCTTCTGTGGCCTGGATCAAAGAGGGCAACTACCTGGCTGTGGGCACCAGCAGTGCTGAGGTGCAGGTGAGACTTGTCCCTGTGCTGCAGCTCTATTGTTCCCCAGAACAAGACCCCCCAGGGGTCTTGCCCAGCAGGAGGATGTTAATGCCAAGTCCTGATCTTCATGGTCTTCTCTCTCTGTAGCTATGGGATGTGCAACAGCAGAAACGGCTTCGAAACATGACCAGTCATTCTGCCCGAGTGGGCTCCCTCTGTTGGAATAGCTATATCCTGTCCAGGTTAGTGGTTTTTGCTAGTCTGTTACAAAATCAGTCTATGATTTTGGCCCCCTCTCCCCGGACTGTACACCTCTGAACTGAAGCAGCTCTGGCCTGCTGGTAGCGTTTGGCACTGCTATAGGACCTGATTCCCTTCTTCCCTCCTGCAGTGGCTCACGCTCTGGCCACATCCACCACCATGATGTTAGGGTAGCAGAACACCATGTGGCCACATTGAGTGGCCACAGCCAGGAAGTGTGTGGGCTGCGCTGGGCCCCAGATGGACGACATTTAGCCAGTGGCGGCAACGATAACTTGGTCAACGTGTGGCCTAGTGCTCCTGGAGAAGGTGGCTGGGTTCCTCTGCAGACATTCACCCAGCATCAAGGGGCTGTCAAGGTGAGAGTGGGGCTGGGCTGGGCTGGGCCTCTGCAGACTCTCACTCGGAACCTCTGGGGACATGGGATGGTGGCATTGGACTGGGTTAATCTGTGAGCCCTATAGCTCTGTGTCTAGCTCTAGTACCTGCTGACCCCAACTTTTTATCACACCTAGGCTGTAGCTTGGTGTCCCTGGCAGCCCAATGTCCTGGCAACTGGAGGGGGCACAAGTGATCGACACATTCGTATCTGGAACGTCTGCTCTGGGGCCTGTCTGAGTGCTGTGGATGCCCATTCCCAGGTAGTCTTCCTTATTCCAGCCTCTCACTCCCAGATGCGTTCTTAATTCTATATAGCCTTCTGGGCAACCATGTCCCCTCCAGTGGCTTCACCGATGCTATACCCTGATGGTTTCCAAACTTCTAACTCAGCTCTCACTCATGAGCTCCAGACCCACATTTCCAACAGTCCACAGAGAGCTTGTCTCTAACGCCACGTGCTATAGGTGGCGCCACCCTAATATGTCCCAAATTAAACTTGTCACTTCTCCTTGGCTCCCTGAAATGCATTCCTCATCCTCCTATGTTGTTGTAAGGGACACCACTCAGAAATCTGAAAAGCCTAGAATCTTTCATCCTCCCCACCTAGTCACCAAGACGTCTCAGTTTTACCTCAGAATATCATTTACACGTGTCCCCTCCCCTCAGCCTCATCCTTCTCCCCAGTGGAGGCTCACAGCACTGGTCTTTTCATATCTCTTCCAGTCTGTCCTCTACACTGGTCTGGGTGGTCTGTTTCTGTCCTCTTTAAACCCTGCAAGGGCTCCCTATCACCTACAGTATATAATCCAAATGCTTCAGAATGATATTTGAGGCCCTTGCTGGTGTGTCTCCCTGCAAGCACTGCAGCTTCCTCTTGCCACCCCCTTGCCCAGCACATGCAGCCTTCATTCTAACCTTGGGCTCAGGTTCAAATTCTGCCTCTGCCTCCTACTAACTTAACTTGCATGTGATCTTAAGCAACTCGCTGAACTTCCTTCTGCTTGATTCCTGATCTGTAAAGTGAATAACAGTTATAACTCTCAAAAGGCTTTTGTAAGGACTACAGTCATTCAAGTCTGAGTCCGTAGCACCTGGTAGGGTGGCTAACACCACGGTGGACTTGGTTCTGATTTGAGTAGTGTTGGCTCTATGTACGTCATGCCCATGCCAGTCCCTCTCCACAGGTGTGCTCCATCCTCTGGTCTCCCCACTACAAGGAGCTCATCTCAGGCCATGGCTTTGCCCAGAACCAGCTGGTTATTTGGAAGTACCCAACCATGGCCAAGGTGGCTGAGCTGAAAGGTAGGTGCTAAGTGACAGAAACCAGAAACAAAAGGGCACGTATTGTATGACTATTTATATGAAATGTCCAGAAGAGGCAAATGCAGAGAGGGAGAAAACAGATTAATGGTTGCTAGAGGCTGAGGGGAGAGGGTAATGAGGACTTTCTTTATGGAGTGATGAAAACATTCTGGAATTACTGTTGTGATGGTTGCACAACTCTGAATATACTAGGAACCAATGAACTGTACACTTTAAAAGGATGAACTTTATAGTGTGTGAATTGTTAATTATCTCAGACTGTTCTAAACAAGCTCTCAGAATTGGAAGGCTGTAGGCATCTACCTTCATTTGCACTGCTCTCACTTTCTCCCTCCTCATGCCCCAGGTCACACAGCCCGGGTCCTTAGTCTGACCATGAGCCCAGATGGGGCTACAGTGGCATCAGCAGCAGCAGATGAGACCCTGCGGCTGTGGCGCTGCTTTGAGCTGGACGCTGCCCGGCGGCGGGAGCGGGAGAAGGCCAGCGCAGCCAAAAGCAGCCTCATCCACCAAGGCATCCGTTAAGGACCAGCTCGGCTCAGTTTTTTGCGTTTTTTTTTTTTTTTTTTTTTTTTTTTTTTTTTTACTTTTCTAATAAAGTCACGTCTCCCTCTTCGCCTGGCATGACCTCTGTTCCAGCAGCCTTCCCCGGGGCTCCTCTCTACTGTGATCAGAGAGCTAGAAACATCCATCCTGTGGGCACCTTGACCATCCCTCCTGTCTGCAGACAGGCTGGCAGGCTTTGTACCCACCTCCTCCATTCACACATGTACACACACAGCCTCAGTGGTTTCCTCTGTCACTTTTAATGAAGACATAAAGGAGTGAGCAGCCTCCACAGGCTGTATTCCCAGGCCCCCACCACCCTGACCTTTGGCCAAGAAGCTCCTACTTCAGTGTGGGGTGGAGAAGGAGGGAGCCTGGGTCCACAGTGACAGATTATTGCTGACCTCTTCAGTGTGAGGAAAAAGGCCACACGACCCTGGTGGGGGCCAGCCCTGAGTGCTCCTCTCCCACGTGTAAGGCAGGGAGGGGGAAATAAGTGTCCAGCCCTTTCGGCCCCTGGCTCTGGAGTGGCAGGGGGCAACGAGGCCTTGTCCCTGGGGCTGGCCAGAAGAGGAGGAATGGAAGCAGTGGTCCCTGTGTACCAGCTGTGGGGAGCAGAGGACCTGTCACCTGCTCAGTCCTGACCACATAAGCCCTGGTCACAGGTGTAGCTGGGGAGGACAATGACAGATGCTGCCCGAGGTGCAGTCCTGAGGCACTTAGGTGGGCGCCTAGCTAGGCCATGTTTCTCAGTTAGCCTTGACTTTGGCAGTACCTGGAGCTCCATTTTGCTGAAGTACACGGGGCAGCCGCTTGCCTTTGGTGTAAGACTGATACCAGAAATTGGAGAAGAGCAAGAAGAAGATGGTGCCGTACATCCAGATGAGGTGGATGATGATTGGATACTGGTAGTTACAGCTGGGCATGAAGTAGTACTGGGAGATGTGCAGCGAGACCAGGACAAACTGGATCTAGGACAGAAAGGCAAGGGTCAAAGGGCACAGTGAGAGGACCGGAGGGAGAGGGGGTAGAAAAACAGAATGCCGAGTAGGGAGGGCTGGGGTCAAAGGTGAAGTAGGCTGGCTAAAGGCAGGATGCAGACCAGAATGTTGAGGGGGTGGTTGTAGGTCAGGCTCAGGCCCCTCACCAGCTGGACAGCTGTCATGTGCTTTTTCCACCAAAGGTAGGGCTGAGCCACAGGGCCGAGGGCAGACAATCCATAGTACAGGTACATGATGACGTGCACAGAGGAGTTGATCATGGCGTGGAAAGAGCCCATTCCTCCTGTGCATGGACAATCAGGACCTGAGTTGGGCCTCTGGTGCCCAGTGCCTGTCCCTCCTCCCCCGTGGTCTTCACCACTCACCTGGAGCAAATTTTACCCCCCACCACCAGCTCCAGGGAAGCACTGAGTGGTGGAAGACATGTAGGAAGGTCACCTGTCCATCTTTCTTCCGGAGAATAAAGATCACCTGAGAGAAGAGTGGGGTAAGGGGTTTCAGAGCCAGGGCGTCTCACTCCTTTCTCCCCATAAGTTCTCGAATCTCACGTAACTACTCACCGTGTCCATCAGCTCAATGAACTTGGAGAACAGGAAGAGCCAGGCCACTCGAACCATCTGTAAGAAGTCAGGGCAGCCTTAGGACCGCCAAGAGCCTCTCTAAACTGGCTCATGAGCACAGGGCACATCCAAACTGCTCCTATCCCCAGGTTGCTAAGGACCTGGCCTCCGTCCCCACTTACCCTCAGCGCCTCCGGGTTGTTGGAAAAGTCCACTGGGTCGCAGCGCCAGGTGTAGGTACTCAGCCAGCCAGACATCAGGAACTATGAAGGGGTGTGGATTAGACCGCCAGACTTCCCTCCCTCCCCCAAGTCTCTTCTGTTCTCTAGACGGAGAAATAGAGCTGAGCCTCTCTGGAAAGGAGATGCCATGCTCTGGCCCTAGGGCCTGCCCCTTATCCTGCCGGCAGGAATTAAAGCCTAGGCATCCTGGGGGCCCACCTCATAGACGATGTAGAGGGAAAATGCCACCAGTGAGAAGTTGTAGACAACCATGAAGCTGCGGAGCTGGAAGGGCTTCCGATTGGCCATGATGCGAGGCCCAAGTGAAAGAACGAAGTACACGTAGGTCAGGAGGATAGAGGTCATTAGCAGGGGGGACCCCATCAGAGGGTAGCCCTGGATCCGGGGATCTGTGAATAAGGGTCAAAGGAGTCAGGAAGGGTCACAGAGTCCAAAGGGTCCCCACCAGGTGTGCAGACATGAGGTCAGGTCACAAAGGGTCAAGGGATTTGAAGGGACTCTCCACCATTAGGAGACAGCCCTAGATCCAGGGATCCCAGGGTGGGAGGGAGAAAGGGTTGGAGGACAGCATCTCACCTGCATGCTTCATCATCTCCTGGTACAAGTTCACAACAGCCTCCATCCTGGCTAAGGACTCTGGCGAGGTAGGGAGGATGGGTGTCAGGGCCGACTGTGTTCCCCCCACGCCCCAATTTCACCCCTGACCCACAGACAGGACACAGACCAGACGCGACAACTCCCAACACCTCACTGCAGAAAGGACAGAGCAGTGAGAGGAAGGAATTGCTGGGGACTAGGGTGAGGAGAAGGCCGCTCGGGGTGGGGGGCGGGATCTGCTTCCCGCATACCCTGCCTGCCTGGGAAGGGCTCTTCCGCCCTTCCTCTCCACACCTTCCTCTCCTCTCCTCACCCTCTGCTCCTCTCCAGAGATTTTTACTTTGTGACCTCCCCTCCCTTCTTCCACAAGAGGACTCTCAATTTCTGGTCTCTTTCCAGAGAGTCTTACTTCCTAACAACAGGGAACTCACCTCCAGAACGAACCTCCTCTCCCTTCCTTGCCAGTCCCTCACCTCTCCAGCCCTGGGGTCTTCCTTCTCTCCAGGGGTCCTCCCCTTCAACTTCTCCTGCCCCATTTCAGGATGCACATCTCCCGGGATGGTCCCTCCTGTCCTCTCCCCTGCTGAGTCACCCCCTCGGGCTCTCCTCTGCCCTCCTTGGCTCTCACCTCCAGCCTCTCCTCTCGTCTCCGGAGCTCTCCTCTCACCCTCCCTCTCCAGGAGCCTGGCTCTTTGAGGCTCCTGCCCTGGCGGCTCCACCTGTCTGACTAGATCTGGCAGCAGCCCCGCCCTCTGCCTGCCCCGCTGTACTGCACATGGGGTGGAGGGTGGGTCCAGGCCACAGTTCAGTACCTGGGGGACCCACCAGGATTGAGAAAGCCAAGTAAAGCCCAGGACTCACCACCCGCCCACCCCAGACCAGTCAGATGAGCTAAGGTTCTAGGTTTTGGCTAGAAACCTCCCAGGACGCCAGCCCCAGGCCTAGCCTTGGCCCAAAGAGAACTGCTGAAAACCCACACCCAGCATCCCCTCCTAAATTAGCCATAAATTCTCAGTTTGTCCTGCTTCAGAATGGGTACCATCACCCTTCTCTCCCAGGGAGGGGCAGGGAGTGGCATGTGAGGAGGTGGGGAGTAGGGGAGGTCTCAGGAATCTTCCCCTCCCTCAAGTAGGGGGTCATAATGGGCTAGGCTCTCTTCCCCTCAGAGCCTGAAGGAATGTCGGGGGAGGGCTCACCGGGACACAAAAGCCTTGGCCCAGGCGGAGGACAGCCTGGGACTCGAGGCAGTCCCAGAGGGGCAAGGCGTTCCCCGAACAGCCAGGACAGCAGATGCTCTGCGAGCTGCCTGCACTCTGGTCGGCCAGGCTCCCTCTACCCAGAGAAGCACCTGTGCAGGTACTAAGTGAAGAACACACCTTCTGACACAGCTACGGAGGCTGCACACGCGCCCCTCACACACACATGTCACAGACGCTCCCCCAACTTCCATGCCGACCCACAACTGCCCCATCAAGGTCAGGCTCCAAGTCCTCCCATACACAGAGCCCCTGTCACAGCTCCCCGCCACCAACGACAACTCGCCAGTGGCTATAGCACGTGCACGCAGAGCCCACCTGGCTCCTGCAGGCTGCAAGTGCCCTCCTCTGACACTCTGACCACCCGGACAACTCTTCATGGACTTTGACATGCATGGTCTCTAACACTCAGGCCTGCTCCTAGCTATGTTCACACTGGCAAACACACCCAAACGCACACACACTCTTTCACAGGACCCGCATTACCATGTGCAAGTGCTTGTGCTCAAACGCAGGTTTCCTCACACGTCTGAGTCTCAGATGAATGTGGTCACATACATAAACTCACACAGCCCACCTGCAGGTGAACGAGCCCAACATCACCCACACTGTGTGCAGACGTATACCTGTCCTGGGTCAGGCACACCCACAGCTCTCTTTTCACGGATGGCAGTCACCATTCTTCATTCATTCATTCATTCATTCACAATCAGACTTTTGTTGGCTGCTTATTCTGGGGTAGGGCCTACCCAGAGGCACGTGATGTAACACACAGGTCCTCCCGACCCATGTGAGCTTGCCAGCTTGTTATCTCCCAGGCTCTCTCAGCCACCATCCCCAAGTTCACCTCCCCCCAGCCTACACACGCATGCACCCTGGAGGCCTGGGGTGGCTCGAGGCTTCTGGAAGGACCTCTCCCCAAGTTTGAGCTGAATCTGGGTGTGTCCCCAGTGGGGGAACTCAGTCTGGTCCTTCCTTCCTTTCAGATGGATGAAAGGGAAAGGCAGACAGGCAAAGGAAGGGGGCGGTGGCGGTGCACAAGGGCGCCAAGGGTTGGAAGGAGTAAGAGGGGGAGAGGGGCAAGAGAAGGAGGTGGTAGAGGAAGGCCCAGGTTCAAGCAAATGGGGGCCTGGCGGGAGGGAGGCTGCTGGGGAGGCCCAGCCCCGGAGAGCTGGGACCTCCCACCCACCCTCCCCAGGAACGGCCTCGCCCACAGCCTGGGCAGGGCAGGGCAGGCCGGGCGGCCCAGCGGGGCAGGGGCCTGGGCACGTGGCGAGCCCGCCCTGGGAGGTCCCGACTCACCAGTGGGGGCCAGGCGGGCAGTCGTGGAGGGCTCGGAAGGAGCAGGGCCGGAGAGGTGTCCCCAGGGCCAGGCTGCCTGCCACTTCCTCATCTGCTGGGCCGACTTTCTGTC